AACAGAGAGAAGAGAACAAGCTTAGGGAAGGAAGGAAGTGATGTGCAACTAGCTCCTTTTCTGACACCAGCGCAGGAGAGTGAGGGATAATATCCAGGTTTTGCACGAGGGCCCTTTTGACAGGCTCCCGAAGCACGTATGTACACTTTTACCTTCATTTTCAGGTTTATAGACCCCCTAAACTCCACCTGATCTGTATGCCTGCCACCAGTTCAAATTAAGGACCCTAAATTTATGTGTATTTTAGTCTTCCTTGAGTCAGCATAGGGCTGCTATGGGATTCAACATAGGGTGACCCTATGTCCAGGTCTGCCCAGGACAGCCCAGTTCCTAACTTGGTTTTGAGACGTTGGGTCACCTATCAGCACAATGGCTGTTGGGTAGGGAGAGAAAGTAAGGATGAAACAGAGCAAGAATGAGGACCTAACCAGGCCTGGGGACTGATCCTTACAGGGGTATGTGCAAGTTCAATGCATGGCATTCCTGGAGTGTTAACAGCTCAGGCTTGGCCAGGAAATCTCAATGTCCAAAAGGTATATAGCAGATGGGAAGGTGGCAGGAGGTCCCAGGCAACAGGAAGTACCTGAAGCCAGGAGAGGGGCAACATGGAGAATCCATTCACAGAGGGAGCACACAGCACGATTACTACAGCTGAGGGCTGGAGAGAGCGGGCTGGCAGGGACATGTGCTGACTCTGAGGACCTCCTGGACCTCTGCCTTCCTGGAGTCCTTGATTGAGGAGGAAGAGTCTTTCCACAAGTTCTGCTGAGTAGTGTCTGGAACCCTTTGAAATGCAGTCTGAGGTGAACCCATTAAAGAGAGGAATATGGTGTGATAAGACACTGTGGCATGGTAAGTTCCAAGATATAAGCAGACACTCACACATTGGTACACATCCCCAATTCCTTCCAGCCTGGCCTTATGCCTAGAGCCTGGGGAAGGGATGTGATTGCATTTAATGGTACCAGAATCATGACCAAGGGCATCAGTGCAGGGAGGGCCCTGGCAATGACTCCAGTATTAAAAGGCCACCTTTCCAACTTCTCCAGAGAAGGTATCAGAATGAAAACAATATGAATGGCTACGAATATGCCAGACATTCTTAGACATTTTACATGTGTTACCCTTCCTAAGTAGGGAATGTTTTAGACACAGACTGAGGCCCAGAGAAGGTAAAGAAACTTGTCCTAAGTACAGCTGTCAAGAAATAAAACTGGAACCCAACTCCCAATTAGCCAAAAAATGGAAAACCCAAACCCCAAATTATTAAACATAATTTTTATTTCATCCAAGGCAAAGCTAAATACAATTCTACAATGCAAAACATGTTGTAGAGGCAAAATAGTCTGATCATATCCATTCTGTGCTTGAACACAAGTCGGTGCTGGGCGTGTGTACGTCTGTGCCTCCCAGAGGTACTTGCACACCTGAGGCCTCCCAAAGCCCATTGCTGCATCACCTGATCTATTGTTATATAGGAAAATTGACTATGGGTATTGTTGTCATCCAAGCCAGAGGAATAAACCATGCATAAGATAGTCGAAAGCACTGCATGTCAGGTGGGAGGTGGAAGGGTAGGACTCCAACCTGGGACAAAGCAAAGTGAAGCAAGCTACAGGATTTTCCTGAAAAGTCCCCCCTCCTGGCTCTCCTTCTCCCCGGCCTTCCAATGGCAGCCGTCTGGAACAGTGAGATGGAGTCATGGAGTGATGGAATCCAAGGGCACAGCTGGTCTTCCCCTCTGTGTCTTGTCCTTCCTCAGTCTCCAGGTGCCCCAACAGGTATAGCTCAGGCCAGGAAAGATGGCTCCTGAAACGTCCAGAGTCCCCCCAATCACGCATCACCCATTCCATGCACGGCCCACCCACTCCACAGTCAAGCCACCACGTGCCCACACTGCATGCACGCACGTGCGCTTCCACACACACACTCCACATCTGCGCCACACAAGCGCCACACAAGCACACCTTGCCTCCTGCATCTCAGGAGCACGCTCCTGCCCTCCTTGCTCCACAAAAGCTGTTAGCAAGACATATGTAAGGTCTGAGCCCCATCGCTGCCTGCCCAGGCCTCTCTAGTGTGGGAAGTTGATCTGGCTGCCTTCTGCCCAATTCCTACACAGGGAGAAACCCCAGACCTGGAATGCTGACAGCGCATTTTGTGGTCAAGGACAGAGAGATCGGAACTTGGTCTTCGGTCTCACTGGCACCACCATCAGCGCAGCCACATGCACCCAGGTCTCCCAAGATCTACTTTGTAAATGGCTCTCTCTAGCCCGCAAGCCCAGGAAACACCCTCACTAGCCCCAGAGACCACCATCGGAGACTCGCGCGCACGGAGGGTCTGCTTGAGACAGATGGCTTTGCCCATAGACATCCTAGTACAAATCCACGCTAGTGTTTTTCCATGGGTATAATGCCGGCATTGGGACAGGACGATCCTTTGTTGTGGGGACTAAGTTTAGCATTCACAGTCCCCACTCACTAAATGCCAGTAGTGCCTGCAGGCACTGGGGCAACCAAAGATGTTCCCTTGCAGTCTCAGTCACCTCTGCGGAAAACCCCCAAACAAGAGCCACGGACAAGAGGCTTTAAGCATGAGAAACGAGGTTTCCAATATTATAAAGACTAAATAATTCCAAGAGGGTGGGATGGAAAGAGAGAGAGAGAGAGTGTATGTGTGTGTGTTGTAGGGACGCAACAGAGATGAGGACAGGACAGACCTGGAACAATTCCTCCAGTTATAATACCCAGCTTCCCAGATCCCTTGCCAAGCCAAAAAATATTTTTTAGACAAAACTCGCCGAGCCTCACAACAGCCCTGTGAGGTAGGTAAGTATCGCGACACCCATTCGCTAGATGGAAAGAGCTGAGCCCACAGAAGCGACGTGACCCGCTGAGAAGTCAGCAGCAGACCCAGGGGAGGAGAGAGGATGGCGTCCCTCCTCTCCCCAGTCCGTAGCCCTGGCTTCCTCTCAAGACAGTAAGACGAGTCCCACGGGGCTCTGCCTCTTCAAATGCTGACGTTGGAAAGGGAGAAGAAAGCAGTTTTGCATGAAGGCAGCCAGAAATTTTCTGAGTGGCTACGGCTCTGGTCTGTCTGCCCCAAAGCCGGGAAAATCTGAAGCCCAGCCCAGGGGGGTTTGGGTGGAGAAGGACAGGAGGAGCAGAGGCAGGTCAGAGGGGGACCTTGTGAGCCCATCAGGTGGGCTAAGGGACACTGGGCACCGTCTTGGGCACCCTGCAGGTGCTGCTGTTCCTCAGTCTCCCCTACCTCCACCTCGTGGAAGCTTGCGGCTGTTTTTTGGCAGGGAGAGCCCAGAGGCAGTCCCAGTACCCTCTAGAAAAGAGAGCTGCTCCCCTCCCATCCCTCCTCGGGGCCTAGAGGCTAGAGTGTCGGAAATTCGATAAGGGGGCAGGAGCAGACCGTGCAGGGCCCTGTACCACGCCCCCGCCATCCCGGCCTCACCACCTCCACCCACAGGCACTCGCGCCAGGGCCCACCGGGAGATCCCACTTCCAGCATCACCGCGTCCCCCTGCCTGGGACCCGCACAGGAGCCCTGGCAGATGTCTCTAAGACTCAGTCACCGGCCAAGGGGCCGTCGGCGACATGACTCCAGCCTCACGGCCCCCTCCGTGACCTCGGGGAGAGGAGGGCAGGGCACCCTGGCCAGTGCCACACCAGACTGCTGTTGTGCCAGTACAGAAGGGCTGGGGGGCCTGGGGGACGAGGCGGGGTGAGAGCTGGGAGTCAGGAGCTAAGGCACAGTCTAGCCCCACACACAGGGGTGTGCAAACCAGTTCCTGGGAAAGCAGAGGTACACAAAGGAACACTGGGTGCCCTCTCCCTGCTCCCCCCAACCCCAGGGAGGCAGGAGATGGCTCGACAGAGCAGGAAGCAGCTGGGAAATGCTGGGGCCCTTTCATCCAAAGGAAGAGGGTCCCTGAGGGGAAGGCAGGCCCAGGGCAGGGGAGAGGGTGTAAGGGAGGGTGCGGGAGGGTCCAGCCAATGGCAGGTTTGACAGTGCAACCTCCCAAGCAAGAGGATGCCACCTGCCGTTACAGAGGATGAGGAGGAGCAGGGGAGAGCTGGGCTCAGGAGAGCCCAGGAGTGGCAATGGTCCTGCCATGCCAGGAGAGGGGTGCCTGCACTGGCGGGGCTGGGGTGGGCATTCCAGGTAGAGAGGCCCCGGTCACTGGCTCGCTACCTCTGCAGCCCGATTCCCCAAGGAGAAATGACAGGAAAGGCATAGGTAGGTAGTGCTCCAGCGCTCCAGGGAGGCTCAGAGACCCCTGCATGAGCCCCTCAATAACCCAGAAAGCAGAGGAGCAGGGGAGGTGGGCCGGGACCCCTCAAGACTGAGGTGGCCAGCCCAGTTGGGAGGGCTTAAAAACTCTGAGCAGGGGGCAGGCTGGGGAGCCTGGGACAAGGCTGATGGGCCCCCTGGGGCAGAGGAAAAGGGAAGTTCCCCACTTGGGGAACTGTGGGGGTCCTCCTTCCAGCAGCCCCCTGCCCCAGGTCTCCTCCAGAGTCCTCCAGCCCACTGTCCCCTCCAAAGGGAGCCACACATACCTCTTCCTTCACCCCGAGAGGGCCCAGCTCTTGGGGTAGCCATCATGGGTCTCCCACGTCCCTCTTGACCAAGGTCCTCCTTGTACATGGTACAGGGTGGGGAGACTGAAGGGGACCCCGTCTACCCAGGTGTTGGGGACCAGCCCCTCCACACTGCCTCAGCACCTACTTACTTCTTCCTGAACCTTCCACAGGCCCCCTCCCCTGGCCATCCCTTGTCCCTGGGGAGCCCTGGCTGGGGATGGAGCGGGCAAGCTGGACAGGACTGGTTGGGCTGGGCAGGACCCCAGCTTCTCCTGCGCAGAAAGACTACAGTTTGAGCCAAGCAGCAGGTGTCTCAGGCACGTGAGTTCTACGGTCGGGCCTCAAGCATCAGCTTCGTCAGAAAGGGAGGTTCCCCACGGCTGCTTGGCCCGAAGCAGGGGCTCACACTTTGGTGGGTGGTTTCTCTTCCGCCTTGGAGCCGGGCAGCCCATTCTCCGTGTTGTCATTCCCTGAGGAACTCACGAGACACTCCTTCCTGGAGGGGGAGACAGAGGGGACCCTGGTGAGCAGAGCAGCAAGAGTAGGGGCTGGGCTGAGGAGGGACTTGTGGCCCCTGCGCCCAGCCCTGTGCCCTCCCCAGCCTTCCCTGGAGCTAAGGCAGCAAGAGGCCATGTCACCTAACTTCTCTGTACCTCAGTCTCCTCATCTGTAAGACAGATGTAGTGATGACAACGTCGTCACAGGGTTGCTAGGAGGAGAAATGAGCACTTGGGCAGTGCCTAGCACACGGAAAGTTCTCCATCTGGCTTAGCCAACACCTGGTTGTCTCACCATGGCAGAAGGCAAGGGGTACCAGGCACTGTCCCCGGGGTCAGTTCCCAGGCCGTGCCACCCCAGGGGAAAGGGTTCAGGCCAGCAGGGAGTATGCTGAGGACACAGGGCTCCTCCCCAGGGCCCTGCAGGCCTCCCTCCCTGAGCTCTGTGACCAGAGGTAAAAGAACAAAGGCCATGGCAGGGTCAGAGCAGGCAGTGGGTTTGGCATCACAGATGACAGGTCTGGGGAGGAGGCAGCAAAGAGGAGAGATGGTTAGATGGCGAGACACCTCCTGGCAGCGATACCACCCCGACTGCCCTGAGATGGACATGCCCAATTTAAATTTGTCCCTCCTCCGTGCCAGCCCCCAGGCTGGGCAGACAGAGCTCCCCAGGGGGCTCCAACCTCACTCTGAGCTTTCTGCTTATGAAAACTGCCAGGTCTTTTTCGCAGCCGCCATTGCTAAACTACATCCTACACTCACCCTGGGCTTGTGTAGCTGGATTTGAGGCCTTTGGGGAGGACTGAATATTTTGTCCTCATCAACTTCATCTTGCAGAATTTAGTCCATAACTCTGGCCTATCAGGATCTTCCTAGATCCCAAATTTTGTTCTCCAACATAGTCACTAGGCTTCTGGAAATCTAATAAGTATGTCATCCCTAGTGTAGTTCAAATGTTAATAATAACATGAACAGGCAGAGCCCTGTGGTATACCGTTGAAGATCTCTAATCAGATGGATCTCTCTCTCTCTCTCCCCCTCTCTCTCCCCCCACTCCCCCACCCCCCCACCTAAGGTATAGCCAACCCAGCCAATTACTCTCCACCCAACTGTCCTCTCTTGTAGTCCACAGTTCTCTACTGCGAAGCTACTGGATACCAGACGCTGTCAGAGCCCTTGCATTCTCCTAGGGAATGTCACATTAAACAAGTGCCTGTGACACAGCATGGTAAATGACAGGATGGGGGGTGTACCAAGGAGGAACCCAACCTAGGAAGGCTCTTTCTAGGGGTCAAGGAAGGCTTTTTGGAAGTGCCATTTAAGCTGAGACCAAGAAAGATGAGCAGGAAAAGAGGGAGGAGAAATTGCAGGCAGAGGGAACCGCACCCAGGTGTGACACCCAGAATCGGTGGTGAGATGCTGTCAGCACCTCCCTTCTCCTGGAGAAGCCGCTGTCTCTGCTGTGATGCAAGCCTTCCCTGCCACGCAAAGGGACCCCCCAGGCTTTCCCAGAACCTGTCCCCTGCCCTCAGGCTCTCCCCACCCAGTCCCTCTGCCCACAAGGCCAAGCTCTCTGATCATGCCAGGGCCCTGCAGCCAAAAAGAAAGTCAATCACAGCCTGGACTCCCAGGTCCCCAAGGGTCTGTCCCCAACCCCCTTTGCAGGCTTTTTCTCTCCTCCCTCCCCTCTACACCCCTCCCATCCTGTCAACACACAGAAGACCTTGCTCTCTAGACACTGCCCACTTCCCCAACTCTCTACCTTTGCTCTCGGTGGTTCCTCCATCTGGAACACCCTTCCCTTCACTCTCCCCAGGGCTTAAATTACATCCATCTTGCAAGACCTACCACAAACACCCATCTGGCCAGAAATCCTTCCCCAGTGTTTCACCCTGTCCCAAATCCATACAGTAGCATGTCATCAAACCTCTTTGCTGGCACCAGTCCCCACTACCTCATAGTACATTTATTTGTATACACGTCTTCTTTACTTAAGGGCAGAACTTCATTCCTTCCAGAATTTTCTACAGCATCTGGCATAGTGCCTTGCACACAGTACCTCAAAAACAGCCACTAAATGAAAGGAGAAATGAATAAATGCTAGAAATGCCCAATGAGTCAGTAGAATATGATGACAACGGTTTAAGTTTTGAAGCCAAATTCGTCAGAGTTCAAATCCCAGCTCTATCACTTACTAGCTGTGTGGCCTTGGGTAAGTCACTTAACCACTCTGAGCCTCACTTTGCTCAACTGTAAAATAAGAATTATGAGTATCGTATAAAAAGGCCTGGCGGAGTACCTGACATATGTAGGCATCCAGTGAATGACAGGAGGTGTTATTATCTGGAGCAATCTCTTATTCTACCAGTGCTCTATCAATAAGACATTTAGCATTCAGCGTATGTTTTTTTATTTTATTTTATTTGTTTAAGAAACAAAATCTCACTATGTTGCCCAGGCTGGACTCCAATTGCTGGGCTCAACTTCCACCTGCCTCAGCTTCCTGAGTAGCTGGGACTACAGGCGTGCACTGCCACGTGCAGCTTAGCGTGTCTTGTTTTTGATGAAGTGACGGTGGCTCTGAAGGATCACTGCTGTCTTTTCCAAGTGCTTTTAAACCATGTATTGAGAAATTTGTTCTCCAATTTTGCTCACCATCCATCGATGGTGAGACTGATTATTAAAACCAGAGCCTGGCAAAGCTCCGTGCTTCTAGTCCCTCTTGAGAGCACCAAAACCCTCACAGCCCCCATAAGCAAAGCTGGAAGACAACCCCTGAGTTCTTCCTCTCAGCCAGCGCTGGGACAGTCCCCTGCTCCCCAGCCCCAACACAGCTCCCTTAACGTCCCCTCCCTGCAGTCAGCTTCCTTCCCTCTTCCTGTATCGTTTCTGCCCTTTCCAGCCCAGTTCCCTCTTCTCAACAGAGCAAAATGTTTCAGCAAACAGGAGCAGAGCAGTTCTCCCTCCTCTATTGAGTCTCATTGTTACTGTCACCCTCTCTGTTCCCATGGCAGTCCACCTCGTCTCACCTGTCTTGCTCAGAACACAACTTTCAAATCCTTTTCCCTGCTCTAATTCTGTAAGATTTGCCACCTGCTGCCCGGAGCCTGCCTGACACTATTCAGGAACTTCTGGGCCTGGGGGTTGTACCCTTTGTACCTCCTTCATCTTCCCTCTCCTTCCACTGATAGGTGTCTGTTTTATACCCAAATTTATCCCAGTGCTTCCTGGGAGGCCATATCTGCCTTTTTGGACTTTTTTTTTTTAACCTTTCCTTCTGAATTTTCAGAATTTCACAGTAAGAGAATTTCACTCCCATCTCCCTAGAAGGGTCTTCCCATTTTAGAGTCTTTGTACATGGAATCTTATATTTTTTCTGATTTACAAAAAAAAAAAAAGGCTTCCTAAATCCTGTGGTAGGGCCTTAGGTTGAGTGGAAAGAGAGAAGCCAATGGAATGGGAAGAAAAACAGTGGGATGAGGAAGAGCAAGTGGCTTGGGTTTACGTACTCAGTGAATTAAATGTATTCAATAAATTCACAGCGGGACGGTGGAGAAGAGGGAAAGAGATGAGGAGAGGGGCTGGGCGATGGGGAGGGGGGCTGCAGGGATAGAGCAGAGAGTGGCAGGATTAGGAAGAGAGGGTGGGACAAGGAGAAGATGGATGGTGGAAGGCTGGTGGGGACGTGAGGGGTGGGGCAGTGAGTAGGCGGGAGGACAGGCATGGCCACGGATCAACTCACTTCTTCTCCCGAGTCTTCTTGAGGATGAAGGCGATAAGCTTCTTGAGCAGCAGGATGAGGATGAGGAGCCCGATGACCCCGCCCACGACTGCCAGGATGATGAGTGTCACCGTGTTGTCCACTTCTTCCACTGCATGGCCAGGGTAGGGAGGAAAGGGCAGGGACAAAGGAGCAGGAGTCACCTGGAGCCGAGGACCATGGCAGTGACGGGGTTGTGCAGCCTCCAGCCCCTGGCATCTGGGATACGTCCACCCCCAGGCCCCCAGCCCTCCCCAGGCCTCCAGTGGGTAGCAGGAGAAGCAGAATATGGCATCCATCAGGCCAAGTCATGACAAATATTCCCCTCTCCCTTCCCTCCACACACAAGTTCTGCAATAAATCAGAATTAGAGCCTATAGCACCCAGGTTAAGTTCTGACTTGGCTCCCAAATTGCCGTGCGAGAATTACATTGCCTATTTCTAGGCCTCCTTTGCCCATGTAGAAAAGAATTAAGAACCTCCCTATGATTCTCTTAGAAGGTGGGAAGACTTTGGAGTCACATAGTCTGGATTTTAACTAAAGGATTTAACTGTCACTAACTAGCTGGCAACATTGGGCAGATCATTGAAACCTTCTAACCTTGGTTTCCTCATCTGAAAACTGAATTCTCTGACTTCTTACCAAACCTCCTCCACTCACAATCTGCCTCATTTCCGTTGGCAATAACTTCATCCTTCCAATTGCTATAACCAAACCCCTCGCAGTCATCTGTGACACCTCTCTTGTTCTCAAACCCCATATCCAATCTACCCGAGAATCCTAATGGCTCTAACTTCCAAAAATTCTAAAATCTGACCACTCACCACCACCCTGGCCCAAGCCACCTCTTGACTGGATGTTTGCAAAAGCATCCTAATTGGTCTCCTCATTCAATCGTCTATTCTTGGCACAGCAGCTGGAGAGAGCCTGTTCAGGCCTTCACTCTTCTGTTCAGAATCTGTCAGGGCCTCCCTCTCACTCACACCCACAGGGCCCCACATTGGCTCAGCCTGAATCAGCTCATCCTGCTCCAGCCACACTGGCTTGTCTTTCCTCAAGCATCTGCCTCAGGGCCTTTGCACTTGCTGTTCCCTCTGGGCTACCTTCCCATAGCCATCCTCACAGCTTCCTCTTTTGCCTCCTTCTAACACCCCCACTCTGTCACCTTTTCCAGTGAAGCATTGCCTAGCCACCCTGCTGGCACCCCATCTTTCTTCCCTGCTTTATTTTCTCTCCACAACACTAACCGTGTTCCCTTATACAACATTATTTTCTTCTTTATTTTCTTATTCTGTATCTCCCTAGACTAGAAGGGGAGGAATGTAATCTCCATAAGGACGAGAATTCGTCTAACTTGTTCACATTGTGTCCTTGGCACCTAGAACAATGTTTGCCACATAGTAGGTGCTCAGTAAATATCTGCTGAATAATGAATGAATGAATGAGTCTGTAAAAATGAAAAGAACATCCACCTTGAAGGGGCTTTGTGAGATGCAAAGGAACTAAGGTCAGCGAGGGCACCTAACTTGGTGCCTGCCACCCAGAAATGTGCCATAAATGTTGCTTTCCTTCCCTTCTCTTCCCCCCTGAAAAGGCTGAGAACAAAGGAGGGTGACAGGAGCTCAGACGGAGAGGAAGAAGTGACACCATAGGCAGACCTGACTCAGATGACTCCAGGCTCAGAACAGTTGCCTGGATGGCCTCTGGCTCTGCCCTTGGCACACCCAAAATTGAACCCACGGCATTTCCCTCTCCAGGCACCCCACGTCACCCAGGAGAGCAGGTTGTCTTCCCTTTTTTCCTGCTTCTGTGCTTCCCTAGTCTTGCAGGCCCTTCCCTCACTGCTCCAGCCCTGGTTGTCACCTCCTGCTTCTCCAACCACTCGCAGTGTGGGGGTCATGGGGCCACCTGGCTCCTTGTCATATGGACCCTCATTGTCTGATTGGTCCACCTGTGTCAGACCCGAGTCCCCAAGTGGGATCTAAGCCCCGGAGGGGAGGGGCCGTGTCCAACTCCATCTCTGTGCCTCTCCTGGCATATGGATCGTGCGCTGTCTCTATCTCAGTTACTTCTCTGTCTTCTATCGGCCCCGAACTATAAATTCCTCAAGGAAGAACACTGTGTATCATTCACAGCACTTTTTAGTCCAATACCCAACATTCAGTCAACTTTTGCTAGCGGGATACGCGCTAGTAGTAATAATCGGCATGTACAGAGAGAACTTTACTAGCCACAGAGCTCTCCCAGGTAGCTGCTCCAGCCCTCACAACCACCCTAGGAGAATGCAGCTGTGTTCCCATTTCGCAGATGAGGAAAATAAGTCTTAGGCTGAGTGTATTTCACAAGCTATTCAGCAGCAGAATAAGTGTTTGAGCCAAATTCTCTGGCTTTTAGCTATAACTCCAGTAACCTTTGAAAGTGTAAAGCAAAAGAAAACACCAATATGGTCCCTTTTATCACTTCACTGTAACACAGAGTCGGGCCCCCCCCGCCAGGTTCTTCCCACTCCACCGCCTTGTCCCAGCCCCTACTGCATACATTCATCCACGACTTGGAGGAAGATGGTGGCGTTGTGCTCGAGATTATTCTCCTTGGGGTTCTTCACGTGACAGGTGTATTTGCCGCCATCGCTGAACTGCAGGTCCCTCAGCAGAATGGAAATGTTGTTCTTCTTCTCCTTGGTGGTGCCCTCCAGAGTGATGCGGTCATTGTCTTTTAGCGTCACCCTGGGGTCAGACTTCTCGTTCTTCACAGTCCCTTCTATGATCTAGGGGACAGGGGAGGGGGGAGGCCAAGAAAGAAGCAGGAACATCAAGCATCATGACATCATGCCAGCGCTCTCCTTGGGTGCCTCCGCTGTCCAGGTCCAGGAAGAGCCTGCAGTCAGAGCCTGCTTCCTCCTCTTGGTTTCCTCTGCCAGTGGCAATAGCTCTGCCTGTCTAGCCTGAACTTTGCTTGTTTCAGGCTAAACCCATTTCCTTTATGAAGGTCTCTCTGGAATGTAGCACAGCTTTTACTGCTCTCTTCATAAAAGCATTTTATATAACGACGCCTGCAAATACCACACTCATTTCCCTCTGTCCACTTCCCACCCAGCCTTTGCTGACACCATGTGCCCTGCCCATCTGAATCCTGGCCCTCCATCAAGACCTGGATCAATCTCACAGCGCTGTTCATCAGCACCCTCTGAGATCAGCATTTAATTATATCCAGAGTTGGTCTCTTGTGGCTTCCCTATGATAGTCTCAGGCCAGGTCCCCTACTGGACTGCAGGTGAGTACTCAATAAGGACCTGTGGGTTGGCCGGGCGCGGTGGCTCACACCTGTAATCCTAGCTCTCTGGGAGGCCGAGGCGGGCGGATTGTTTGAGCTCAGGAGTTCGAAACCAGCCTGAGCCAAGAGCGAGACCCCGTCTCTACTAAAATTAGAAAGAAATTAATTGGATAACTAAAAATATGTAGAAAAAATTAGCCGGGCATGGTGGCGCATGTCTGTAGTCCCAGCTACTCGGGAGGCTGAGGCAGGAGGATCGCTTGAGCCCAGGAGTTTGAGGTTGCTGTGAGCTAGGATGACGCCACGGCACTCTAGCCCGGGCAGCACAGTGAGACTCTGTCTCAAAAAAAAAAAAAAAAAAAGGACCTGTGGGTTGATCGGTCCCCGCCCCACCCCCACCCCACAGCCCTGCGGATCTCCTGCCTTCTCCCGCTTCCTCTCACCTTTCCTTCCTAGTTCAGGTTCTCAGCCCTTCCCTCAGTTGGACTCTTCTCATTCCCTCTCTCCAAGCCTTCCAAAGGGCTTCCTCTCTCCTGTTTGTTAAATTAAGTTATTCATTTTTACACAAGCAATCCAAATTCTAGGTATTTCTTAAGACCAGACAGAGGACTCTAGCTAAGAAGTCCAACAGGTCCCAAATTCTGGCAAGGTGATCTAAACATCACTACCACTTAGACCCTTCCAGACAGGTTCTCAAAAGAATACTGGGAGAAAGGGTGACAAAACGTGGGTGGATCGTGGGGACCATTACAGTGGGTCTCAGTCCAGACAGGACCAGAGCCTAGGATGGGAGGCAGGGGTGAGGCGAAAGAGAAGGGAGAGAGGATCTGGGCTGTCCCGTCTCTGCCCTCACCACTTACAGGACTGTCACTGTTGTTGTAGGTCCACCAGAATCGGAGGTCCTCGAAGCCAATGCAGCTGGAGAAAGTGCAGGGCAGCAGGACCTCTGTGCCGTTGACAGCGTAGATGACGGCAGCCTTTCCCACAGACACCTCCAGCGACAGGGACATCGGGATCAGGAGGCCTGTTCAGGGAGCACAACCTCCCTAAATAAAACCCCACTGAACCCCCTAGTCTGGAGCTCTGGAAAGGGACACTCGGGCAGGGTGGGAGTGGCCTGGTCTCTGTCATCCTCAGTGTCAACTTGAGTAGGATAGTTCTCTCAACTCCAATTGACACCTCCTGAGCCCCCGCTGTAATTCTCCATCCCTCCCCTTGGCCAGGGCAGGACTGAATTCTGGGCCAGTTACTAGCCCTGTGGCCCTCTGGATGACCACCAGGGGTCACCCCAACCCAAGAAAACGAGGCCCCGGCCACTCTGCCGCGCACGGCGCCCCCAGTCCACCCCCTCGCCTGGGGACGCAGCCCCTGAAGTGCTCCCTCTGCACCGCCGGGGAGTGCATGGGGGTGCTCCCCTCTCTGCAAGGGAATTTCCCCGAGGACTGTGCGCGCCTCCGCGCGATGTTTTCGGGATTTGCGGGGGAGGTGGGGAAGCGCTGGGTCCCGTAAGGTGAAGAGGAAAGCGACAGCCGCAGTCCCGGGCCACTGTCCAGCGGCCTCGCGTCACCGAGCCCCGGAAGCTCCTAGGCGGCCTCAAGGGGCGGAGAGGCAGAGGGACACGTTCTGGCTGGACCTTGCTTGGCCACCTGAGTCCAACGCCCTCTGGTCACCGAACGGGACCCTGAGAACGGAAGGAACACGGGCGGCCAGGATGCGGTGCGCTGGGGGTGGGGTGGGGATGAGGCGCGGCGCGGAGCTGGGCAGCAGCCAGGGCGCAGCGAGCAAAGCCATGACGCGAGAGAAAGTAAAAGGGCCGAAGACACTATGCGGAGGCCGATCCGGGCGAACCTCAAAGCACGCATGCGGGGGTGGGTGGGGAGGACGCTGGACCTGCTGTCCCCTGCTGAACCCAAGTAGCGGCCTCCCCACCACACTCCGCAGCCGCACTCCGCCCCCTCCTCCCCCAGACGTCCCGGAGCACCCCTAAGGCTTCTTTCCCACGTGTTCGCACTTTCTCCCCAGTACATCTATACAGCACCCTCCGCCTGGGCTAGGAGTTTCCACTCACTGCCTTGGACCGCCTTGGACCCATCCTCCTGAGTCCTTGTAAGAGGGCCTGGTCCTTCCCCCTTCCTGCACATTCCTCAAGGAAACCCCACTAGCCTCAAGGTGGTTGGGGGGAAGTCCACAATTGGATGCCTACCTCTTCTTGCCCCTAGGGGAAACAGGCACCTTCTCCCATCCTCACTCTCAGGAAGGCCCTCTTCTGTCTAACTTAATTCCCTCATGCTGCATCACAGTCCAGTTTTCTTGTTTCGCCCACACAAGATAATAATGATGCATGCTGCTTCTGAGCAGTGCTTTTTAAATGACAGAAAAGGAACTCCAAAGAGAGCTGGCAGCCCTGCTCCCTCAGCTTCTTCACGTCCCCTTATCTTCTGACAGCAAAGTGGAGTGCTCAAAGTGGAGTCCTCCAGCCCAAAAATCACACCACGTGGTCCCATAACCCAATCATGACCCCACCACTGTTGATAATGGCAGTAATAGCTAATATTTATTGAGCATTTACTATGTGCCAGGCACATTTCATCCTCACGTCTATCCTGTGAGTGACATATTATAGATACCTAGAGAGGTTAGGTAACTTGTCTAAAGTCAACAGGAGAGCCAGATTTTCTCACCAGGACTCCAATTAATACTGAAAAGTTATTCCACTTAGCCCTCATTTTTTGGCCAACTCCTATGTAGGAATTGTTCTAGAGCTGTGGTTTTCAAACTTGAGAGAGCATCAGAACCCCTGGAGGGCCGTTCCAGCAAGCCCGACCCAGCCCCAGGAGTTTCTGATTCAGTAGGTCTAGAGTGAAGCCTGAGAATTGACATCTCTAAGAAGTTCCCAGGGAATACTATGGGCTGTGGGTGAGGGTCCCGCTTTGAGAACCACTGTGCTAGAGGATTTATACATATTAACTCCAACTTTCATTAGAATGCTGAAAGGTAGGCATGATGTTTGCTGTTTTACCAATGATGAAATTGGGGCTCAGAGAAGTTAAGTTGATCTGCCCAGGGCCACACAGTAAATGGAATCTGGGACTGAGCACTTACTATAAGATAGGATAGGCATTTTACATACAGTCTCATTTAACCCTCAGAATAATCTTATAAGATAGTTACTATTTCGAACGGGCGCAGTGGCTCACGCCTGTAATCCTAGCACTCTGGGAGGCCGAGGTGGGTGGATCGCTCAAGGTCAGGAGTTTGAGACCAGCCTGAGCAAGAACGAGACCCCGTCTCTACTAAAAAATAAAAAGAAATGATCTGGACAACTAAAAAAAAAATATATATATATATATATAAAATTAGCCAGGCATGGTGGCTCATGCCTGTAGTCCCAGCTACTTGGGAGGCTGAGGCAGAAGGATCACTTGAACCCAGGAGTCTGAGGTTGCTGTGAGCTAGGCTGACGCCACGGCACTCTAGCCCAGGCAACAGAGCAAGACTCTGTCTCAAAAAAAAAAAAAATAAGGTAGTTACCATTTCTATTCCCGATACACAAATGAAGAAACAGGCTCCAAGAGATTACCTGACTCAAGGTCACACACCCAGTGAGTGGAATTAGCAGCATTCAGACATTTGTCTGCTTTTTCCCACTCTGTGACCTGTCTCTCCAAGAGAACAATGCTGTCAGGGTTTCGCCCTCCTTAGAGCTCCCAGTTTTCTTTTTACCTCTGCCCTCCCCCATGCCCACCTACCCCAGAGGTCTAGGGACAGGAGCCAGACACAACATCCCACCCTCCAACCTGGGGCCAGCACTAGAGCTCTGCTTCCCACCCACCGTAGTCTCCACAAACTAAGGATCAGGGTGCAGAGCGGCAGATAGGGAAGCTCCCAGACAAGGCAGCTTCCTGACAGCCACTGGCCTCCCTCAGGGCTCCAAGGAGCACGGCAGCTCCCACTCCAGTGTTCATCAGCTCTGGGGTCCAGGAACCAGGGTCCCGGAGGAGATGGGGAGATGGAAGAACTCAAGTCGGTGGCCAATTTCCCCTCTCCAACCCCAGCCAGAATGAAATATTCACGAGCACAAAAGATGCGCATCAAAAGGGAAATCTTTTTGATTGCTTTAAATAGAAGCAAAAAAGCAAAAGAAGGGTCCAGCAGAGAAGAGAACCCTATTTCTTTAAGGTCTGGATCATGACACAGTACACATTTCTGCCTGATTTGTGTGCACCTATAGGGATGACTTAACTTAAATACACTCAGGACTCTCCCAGTGAAGCATTGCCATTTCCCGAGTAGCCTGGAGGGAACAGAAACGGCAGAAATGGTTTCCACGGAGTCCAGCGCCCTGCTCAAGGTTAAGTTATCAGAGCGGGTGCCAAGCCCGGGTTTCTCCAGTGCACAGCCCTCCCAGCAGGGTGTCGTGCAGTCCTGCCAGCTATGCGTGGGAGGCTTCTGAAAAAGCAAACCCAGGGGCCTGCCTCTCACGCCCAGCCTCGCCCAGCCTCACCTTCCAGGTCGTGCTGGAGGAGAGCAGGGAGCAGGGGGCCGGGTGTTGATCCACTAGAGGTCCCCCTGAGGGCTGCTTCAGCAGGAAGACCAAGCCCGGAGAGGACCGGTCAGCAGATGCAAGGCTCAATGAAACCAGCTTTGCAACGACTCTGCCAGCTGACCTTGAGAAAGTCAGAAGTGCCACAGCCAGGGTGTGCATCCCCAAGCCATGGCAGAGGTGGCTATCTCTCCTCCCTCCCAAGCTTGCTGTGAAACCAAAACGTGAGATGGTAAAACACAAGAGGGGGCTTCAGTGAGTGGGCAGAGGAGGATGGTATTTGAAAGAGGGGTGAGGGACAAGACTATCCCTCATCACAGGGAACCAAGGCAGCCCTAGCTTCCCTTAATGACCAGTGTCAGCCAAGAATGTCTCCAGGCCATTCACACATTGATTTATCTTTCACCCTGTACCACTTCTTGGATTATTTCCATGTGGCTATTTCCCTGGAGTATGGAGAGACTTTTTGATTTATTTATTTATTTGAGACAGGGTCTCCCTTTGTCCCCCAGGCTGAAGTGCAGTGGTATGACCATAGCTCACTGCAGCCTCCAACTCCTGGGCTCCAATGACCTTCCTACCTCAGCTTCCCAAGTAGCTATGTGTCCAGGCCTGTGTCCAGCTAATTTTTATATTTTTTTGTAGAAGCAGTGTCTCACCATGTTGCCCAGGTTGGTCGTGAGCTCCTGGACTCAACTAATCCTCCCGCCTCAGCCTCCCAAAGTGCTGGGATTACAGGCCCACTAAGTTAAGTTTGCTTTATCCTAAACTTAACTCTTTAGAATGTCAGGGTGTACATGTGTGTGTTTGGGAGTGGGGGTCCTCTTCCTGGTATTGTGAGATTGATGAACAAGTCCTTCTAGTCATGATCCTGTGGAATTCAATCCTAAACCCCGAAGACTTGACTTTCCTCACTGAAAGGCCCTAGCCATTTAGCTACACTCAGAGCAGCCATTTTCTTTGCCATTCTCCGAAGACTTCACCCCCCCGATCCCATCTTCATCTGGGGTTTTGTCTGAGGATGGACTCAGGATCCCAAGTTTTGTCAAAGTGAAAAAGTATTTGGCACATGCAAATGGTATTATTAAATATTCACACCAGGAGGACTCCGGTGGCAGCCACCACATATTCCAAGGCAAATGCTGAGGCAGGAAACATTCTGCCACCTTTTCCCATGTCCCGGGATCAGTCACAGCCACTCGGGGGTGTGTGGGGAGAGGGGCAGGCTGGCACCCACTCTAAGTTTAGCTCTGACGGCTCACCTGGCATGGCAAGTGGGAACATGGTTCACTTTAATAGGGAGGCTAGGCTGGGCGCGGTGGCTCACGCCTGTGATCCTAGCACTCGGGGAGGCTGAGGTGGGAGGATCGCTTGAAGTCAGGAGTTCGAAACCAACCTGAGCAAGAGTGAGAACCCCATCTCTACTAAAAGTAGAAAAAATGGTGGTACACGCCTGTGGTCCCAGCTACTCAAGAGGCTGAGACAGGAGGATTGCTTGGGCCCAGGAGTTTGAGGTTGCTGTGAGCTAGGCTGACACCACAGCACTCTAGCCTGGGTGACAGGGTGAGACTCTGCCTCAAAAAAAAGAAAGAAAAAAAGTAGGGAGGCTGATACACTCTGGCCTGGGAGAATGAGAGGCTCGAAGTTAGAACTGGAAGTTAGAGTGGGTCAAGGCCAGTGGGACAGGACTCTTCCTGGGGTGGAGGCCCTGGGGGCCGTGGAAGGCAGGGCTGGGCCAGGCAAGGCCCCTAAGCTCAGAGACAAAGGAAAGATTTCAGCTTTCTCTCCCTAGGCAACCTGCCTGCTTCCTGCCCACCCCCAGGAGCTTTGCAGGGCTAGAAGCATGCCCCTGAGACAACACTGGATGCTCAATGAAACCAGCTTTGCAAACAAGTCCAAGCAGCGTGCCTGTCCTTCCTCTTACAGGCCACAGTGGGTTGTGTTGGCACAGCCCACCCTGGTTTATGCAGAGATCCCTAGACCCCCTCGAGGACCAGCAACAGGGCAAGGTGGTTGGCTGCCCAGAGTCTCCCTACCATGGTGATCCCACCAGGAGGTGGCCAGTCATAAGGACTTTGGGACAGCAGCCTTCTCTCCTGGGTGCCCCTGCAGGTTCAGTTAGAGAACTAACCATCATTTGCAGATTCAAACCCAGGATCTCCCTCCACTTCTCCCTGTCCTCTCCTTTTCTCCATGGGTTCCTTGCTTACCCTTCCTTTTGCCTTCCTCTGAGTGGGACTGAGCACCCTCTCCCTAATTGCATTCTCATTAAACAAGCCTTTAATAAATACACACCAAAGGAAAGAGGGTTGTGCAACAGAGCACTCTCACAAGTGATAATTAAACACAAATCACAGCAATTAAGCAAATGAGGGAACAAGAAAGGGGTGGGCAGGACAGCTATATTACATTACATGCTTAGGAAGAGACTGGAACCCACATAAACCTCATAAACCTCAACTGCAATGATATAGCCTTGGAAACTGCTTCTCAGTTTAAGGAAAGGGTATCTTGTTGGGTTATCATCAATCACTTTAGTCTCGGTCTGTAAGGCTGAGTTTGGTATGGGGAGAGGGGAAGAGGGCTCCTGGGAGCTCACTGCTCCATACTCAGTCTCCACAGCTGTGAAAACAGCAGCTTTGCCCCTCCCCCAGGCCTTTGTCCTTCCATGCCAGTGACCCAGAGGTTCACTCAGCCTTCCACCCTAAGCACAATCCCTACTGACCTTCTCCCTCCCCAGATTTCAGTTAACTGGGAGGCAGTGTGGTGTGACAGAGTCTGATTCTGTTCCACTTGACCATCCCACAAGGCCATGCACCCTTGGGCAAGTCACCCTTCCTCTCTGGACCATAGCTTCCTCACCCTTAGAAGAGCTCTGTGCTCCGGTTTCCAAGGTCCCTGCCAGCTATTATGCTCCCAGGGAACACCTCTAGCGGACTGTCCAGTCATCTCCATGTCTCCCCCACTGAACAGAGAGCAAGGATGTCATCTACATCCCAAGCTCAGACCAATGGCCCTGTGAGGGCTCAGTCGGTGGCTGCCTGGGCAAGGTCCAATGGAGGGCTCTGGTTGTACTCCCTCTGAGACCAGACGGGCAGGGGGCAGAACAGGTAGGACTAGTTCTGGGGTCTGTAGATCTCCTACCTGCAAGGCACTCTGCTCTCTCCTGGGTTCCAAAAAGGGTAGCCCAGAGATTTATCCAAACCTGCTTCAACGGGCCCCAGACCCTACTTGTTCGACCCACTGAACAGTCCTTGGAAAAGGAGGGGACTTCCACCTAAAAAAATATACCAAGACTCTGCCCACAATCCCCCTCCCACACACACGCATACACATTGTTTCCAGCGCCCTCCTGGTTGCCCACAGAAGCCTGGCTCTATTAATATGACTATTCTAACAGACCAGGGACTGGTATCCCACCACCCACCGGGCAGCAGGAGGAAGAGAAACCAGAGGTGTAAAGTGGGGTACTCGTGAGTTTGAATTCTTCCATGACCCCTTACCTTTTCCATGGTCACAGTGGGGACCTGCATTGATCTGAGATGGGATGAGGGGTAGTGTGGAGTGGCACTGTGTCCACTCAATGAAGAGCAGCCTCAGGCCTCATGAGGCCCATTGCATTAGGGTCACCGTGAAACCAGCGTGACATCTGTGTGAAAGGTACAGGAGAAAACACCTGTGCCTTCCATCTGGCCATAGAGATGTAAACAAACCAGTGACTCTTGAGTAAAAGAAATGCCCTATCCCCCTTCACCACCAGGCACCAGCATGACAGCTCTGCACACAGTTCACATTTGCAGAAACAGCAGCGACCTCCCTTTTAGGTTCCTGTCTCCCTGTTTTCAGCACAAACAACTACACTGTGTGCCTAGCCCAATGGGGGGAGCTGCCAAAAGCCAAATCCAATAAATATAAACAGGAAGAGATGCAGTTGCCGGAGACAGAGTCGGCTTACACTAAAGTCCAGCTGTGATTTATGAGGAGATTATATGCTGGACCAATAAGTACCATTCCCTAATCTCTTGGAGTTTGACACTCAAAACTATCATGTGCATATTAATAGATATTAATAATACTCCATTCCCTCTGTGTCCTCTGGACATGTCTCCTCAGTCTCCATATTTACCCCAAAAAAGGAAGAGCCAGGAGCAGGTCAAACAGGTCCTCCCTGTGGAATCTTTTACAGGAAGAGAGAAAGGGCCCCTCTTAAAAGGTGGCTTTTGAATGATCCCCTAAGCCCCTCCGACCCCCTCCCGTCTTTAGTGTGGAGCCTGGGGGAAGACAGTGGGTCCTGGAGGAGGCAGAGGGCAGAGGAGCAAAGCAGAAAATGGGCCCAGGAGGAAGGGGAGCCCCCCGACCCCCACTGGTACGTGCCTAATGTCTGAGAAACAAGCACACAGCTCTGGGCAGGGGTGGAGACCAGCATGCCAACAGTCACATGTGCAACCCAGCTGGCATCCCCTACGTCCAAGGTACCACCCCCTCCCCTAGCACACCTGAACCTCTAAACTCTGGAGACCCGCGCTGCAGCCCCAAGTTCCAGCGCCAAGAGCCTGGAGCTGAAGCCAAAAACTAATCCGGAGGCTGGCGGGGTGATGGGGTCGGGGGACGCGCACGTCCCCAAGGAGCACAGCCTCTGAGCCAGGCGTGCGGCGAGAAGCCGGTGGCCACCGTGCTCATTTCGTGCCGCACTCCAAAGCCCACCCTGTCCAAGGCACCCCCCGCCCCCGCGTTCTTGAGTGTCCCCCTCCTGGAGGGGTGGGGGTAGGCGAGAGAACAGACCAAGTTGGGGCTGCCTTACCCAAAAGCCCAGCGCCCAGCCATCTCGCCAGGGCTTTGCCTCGGTCCCCAGCCCCGGGCATGGTCCCGTTCTCTCCGGAGCGCGCCGGGGGCGCGGGGATGGGACACTGGGCACGGCCGCACTCTCCAGCCGCGGTCGGCAGTCCGCCCCGAAGCTGCCCGGGAGCTTTGCGCCGCCGTTCGGGGCTCGGGAAAGTTAGCGGGGAGAGAGCGAGAGGAGGGGGAGGGCTGGAGGGGGGGAGGCGCGCTCGCCCGCCTCCCGGAGC